ATCATTCAAAAAAACATTTGATTCGTATTGCTAGGGAGATGTGCTGATTAGTTTTTGCAAAAGGCAGGTTCAGCCGTTTCGGAGATGCCGAGTAAAAGTGCAGAAAATAGAAATCGAGTTTATGAGAAAACGGAGCATCCGATTTGAATGATCCAAAAAACATTCAATTCGTAATGACGGGTAGAAGTGGTGATTAGTTTTTGGTAAAGGCAGGTCCAAGCGGTTCGGAGATACCGAGCTAAAATTGCAATTTTTGAGAGAACTAAACATCCGATTTGAATGATTCAAAAAACTTTCTGCTTGTGTTGACGAAACGATTGATTTTGGATTTTTTTTTTATTTCCAGAAAAAAAATTTTTTTTTGATATCGAAAGTAAATCGAATTTTTTTTTTTTTAGCTAATGTTTTAAAGCTTAATGATATATTTGCACTATAGTTTATATAATTCTTATAATATTATACAATGTCCTTCATTATAAGTTTGATTGATTGAATTTTGTTTATTTACTTATAATAATATTATTGAAAACATTCCATATTCCTCAAATTTTTCATTACATTATTTTTGTTACAGATAATTCCAGCAATTTGCTTTAAGGCACGATGCCATTCACCACTAATTTTTAATTTATTTTACCAAGAGAGCAATAGTATATTCATCAATTACGAAAAGTTTGCTTTGTTTTTATTGCCATTTCTACCATGAATTATTTAATATAATTAATTAATTTAGGTTTTCCCATTAGTAGAAAGGATTTTAATATTCCATTAATTGTCTTAATAAATTCAATTTTATCAAAACCCAATATAAAACAATAAAATAATTATAACAAATGCTCATGAATGGTGTTAAACCTATGAGGTAAAAGTATTTCGAACACAACAATACATATAAAAGAAATAGTAATTTCACTTTGTCAAGAATGTAATTCCGTATCTGCAAAAAAATTTAAATAGATAATTTATTTATGTTATACCTTTAATTATCTAAAATAAAATCTTGGAAATAATTAAATTAAATGTATTAATATAATTAAGTCCAACATTGCATATTTTTGATTACTATAAAGTGTAACTTTATGTTATTCGAATTTATGTGTAACTATACTGCCTTATTGTTACAGTTTTTGTGCATGAGGAAATGCTTTTTTTTTTTTTAATAAAACCACAAGTTAGATAATTAAGTAAGTGTTCATTATATAAAATGCAGAATTACAATAAATATTGATAAAGTATGTACAAAAACAACTTGATTTCTAAAACTAGTTATAAATTTAAAATTAGATTTATAAATCTGATTCTTTATATTTGGTATTTGTATGTAATTGTATCTATGTAAATTATTACCTATATATACCCATTTTAATACAATAATTGCAAAACAAGTTCATGTTTCTTCTAAAGAACATGAACAAAAATATTAAGTTCTGGATAATAAAAAAAAAACATCACAAATAATAATAGTTAGCTTCATCTTTTTGAGCTGCCTTCACCCTTCAACATCTAAAAATAAAAGATAATAATTATTAAAATTTAATTAAAGACAAAAGTAGTCTTTAAATAAACTCAATAGTTCTGTTTCAATCAAAATGATCAATGTCAAATCAATATGGATATGTCAAGTCAGCGGGAAAGTGATATTGCAAAACTTTTTTTTGAAATTTCGAACTATTCATGAATTAAAAGTAGACCAGGAATATTGCATAATTTAAATTATATACATAATTATGTATTGGTAGTAAAAGAAGTATGGTAAAAAAAAATAAATATTGGTGAAACAAGTCATGTAAAACTAATATGACAAAATACAATTTATTGTACCTCTTTTAGTATTCAAAAGGTAATTTAAGGGGTTAAGGATACTTGGCATTTTTGAATAATTAATTTTTGTTTTTTTGCATTTTCGTTAAGTGTAATATCTTGAAAATATCCTCTGAAAATTTTAAGCTGATCCGATGAACTTTTTGAGTTATTGGACTCTAACCAGCAGGCTGAAGCAAGTGAAATAGTCTACACTTATACTCAAGATTATTCTCCCTTATCTCTTGATGTTTTAAAAGCTATTAAACCAATTTATGACGATCTCAGCAATGATAATTTACTTTCAAGATGTGTATTTCAAGATTGAATCCATAATCACAAAAAAATTGAGAGCTTCAACCAACTAGTGTGAAAAATATGCCCAAAAACCGTGAATTCTAGTTCTACTATCATAGAAATTGCTGCATACATATACATAATCATTATTATTGATTATGGATACCCTAAGAATTGTGAGTATAATTCCCATTGGTATGCTGAAAAATTGGATGCTGCACGTGTGAAGAGGCATATCAGCGCGCTACCAAGAATGCTTCATAGGCAACAGCAAATAGGAAATATTGGAAACTTCCACAATGACTGATGAACTATTTTATAGGCCCAGAAATAGATGACTTGGTTTATTCAAAATTCGTATTTTTGTACGTAAATACAATGTGAAACTTTAAACACGTTTTTCTCAATACTATGTTTTTTGAACTGGTGACAACTGTAACTCAAAAACCGTTTAGTAGATTTTAATGAAATTTATACAGCTTTTAGTATATATAATAAACTGGGGTCTGATCAAGGGATTTTTATGTTTTTCAACAATTGAAATTTTTAAGACCAAATCAACTGTTAATTTTTCAAAAATCTAGAATTTTTTTTTTTCTGATGCTGCCATTTTGTTAATTTTTGCAAAAAAAAAAGAAAAGCTTCACCTCCAAGACCGTTTTTTTAAACTGGGTCAACAAAAACGGCTATAACTTTGAAAATAACTTTTTTTTTTCTGAAATTGTTACTTCAAGTCAAAACAAGTATAATAATGCCATATTACTATTTTTGTAAAAAAAAACATCGTTTAACAACAAAAAAAAAATACTTGAAATTCTCATTTTTTTGTGCCATTGAGTACCCCTAACCCTTTAAGGGATAACAGGTGAATATTTTAATATAAAGCATTTGTTGTATTTAATTAATTACTTATGAAGTTTGCTTCATAAATAGTTAAATGTTAATTAAATTAAAATTAGACATCAAAAATATTTTCAAGTAATGACTTGCGTAAAATGAAAAGTATGAGAGAACTTGATATTACACATAATTTGCCTCTGTATATAAATATAGATATAAATTAGTAATACATACTCTTTCCATCACAGGCAACAATCTTAACTTTGTCTACACGAGCAACTTCTTGGACTTCTCTAAATTCAACATCATTGAGCATAAATGTCCAGACATTGTCACAGAATCGGTAAGTATTCAGTTTTGAAGCTTTGAACGTTAATCTAGACTTAACCCTATTGCAAAGGGCATGATTTATGCATTTGTCGAATTGGAGTAAAACTCGAATAGCTAACTGCGGCGTAATCTGTCCATACTAAAATTGAAATATATCAAAAATAAGCAATATTTATTAATACGCACTAAGTTATGAATATAATTCGTGGTAATTGCACATTGTTCGTGTTAACGTGTGTGATTAATAATACGGGCGTACCTGGATTAATTCGTCCAAGCTCTCTTGTAACGTATTTCCTAAGGTTGTATTTCTATACAGCTGATAAGACATATTAACTGTATTTATTTACTAAACTAAATTCTCATGAATGGACGGCCATTAACGAATTCGTAATTTGTACAATGAAACAAAACTCCTGCCAAAGCCGAACTCGTGCAGTTGCAAAATGTACAAGTAAACAGTGTTGCACTATGCGACAAAAAAATTCGATGCAGTTTACAGGGGTACAAAACCTAAAATTTACTGGAGGCAGATTTAAACTAGCGCACAAGAAAACATAAGATTGAAGTTTTTTTGGATGTTATTATTTATTATAAGAAGTAATTAATTAATTTGACTCCATTGATACAACGTTAATTGACCTTTAAAATCAAAAATATAATTTTCTGTTTGGTGTTTGAAATGTAGTCACAATATAAAACAACAAAAGAAGGAAATAGAACTCTAAGATTTGAATTAGTGGAAACAATGTAAAGATTATAAACTCTTACCTCGATATTTAAGAGTTTTTTTAAGTTTCCAGTAAATACGCGAAGTTGCTGACAACATTGTAAGTACCCATCGATGTCCGTGCTCTAACAAAAGAACGATGTATTTCTCACAGTCGTATCTGGTTGGAATCTACATGTAATGTCCCAGTCAATTTTAGAATATGATGTATTCATAATGATGTAATGGTGTAATGCCATCATAATAGCTTTTAAATGCAGTATGTAAATAGTTTTTAAAAAATATGTTTTTTAAATAGTTTTAAAATAGTAAGCTTTATTTGCGGCAACGGCGTACTAACTAATTAAAACTACTACAATTATGTATTTAAAAGGGCTAAATTCCATTCGTATCAATTTCATTATCTTTATTTCAAAGTATTTGTTTTGTTCTTTATTCAATAAATAAAGGCTAGTACTTGACTAGTAGAAACAGCCAAAATCCAAGGACATTGTTAGCTTATTTAACAGCTAATGCATCGACACTTATTTAAGGTTGTTTAATTTCAAGAACAAAACGTGTCTTATCATTCGACTAAAAACATACAGAAGTAAGTACAATACATAACAATAGTAAGTACAATAATATAACAAACACATAATAATCCAATTTTGTAAGCCGTCTAAAAAACAATTAACCTATTATTGAAGTTATAATAATGTTTGAAAAATCATATCTGAATTATGACATAATTCATAATAATTAAACATTCAAATTATTATGTTTCATAATAATAATTTATTACACATTTTCTTATTTTATTATATTATATATATTTTATATATATATATATATATATATATATATATATATATATATTCTAATGTTATAAGTTTAACTTTTTAAGATAAATTTTTTGAGTGTTTTTGTCCTGTGGTATGTATAATGTTTTTCTATGTTATAATTAATCTATACTGGTGTTTATATTAGTAAATAAAATTTTCAAATTGTTGTAGTTGCTGAATGATGACACGCATCTTGTGTCGAAACGTATAATTAAAAGTTTTTAATACTTTATACCTTTTTTATTTCGACGAATGGGCTGCTAGTTACTTTGATATATATATATATATATATATATTTCAGTAAATAAATAAATAAATAAAATTCAGTATATATAACGACAGTAAATAAATAAATAGAATTTATTTAATAAAATTGTTTATTAAAAAACTTTTTTTGTTTTTTATTACTTTTTGGATTCTTGTTCGAAACTCTACAATATATATATATATATATATATATATATATTCTGATCGAATTTAATTTAAAAGAAATCGAAATTTTTTTACTCATTAAATAATCAAAGTCAATTAGTATGTTAGAAATTGTTTAAAGCCCCTGCAACTGGTTCGTTTCATATATAAGGCAAGAATATCGATATCAAATAGTGTTGTTTAACCTAACTTTTCATCATTATCAAATGAAGACCTTTTAACAAGAAACAATGTTCAAAGTATTATTTTCAAATACTTGTAGAAAGGTGCTGTGTTTACATGTAAATAATAACGTATTTTACCGCACCCTTCTAACAGATGCTTATAAATGTACAACATCATGGAATAATCGTCTCGCAACACAAATTTTGAATAATGTCAATCCTGACGAGCTTTATTATGAAATCGAAAATAACTTAGGACAGGATGGAAAGGCGACTGCAATAGATGTAGATATTTATGCCAATAGTGTTAACCATGTCGATCATTTAGAATCGTTAGCAGATTTATTGCATAAATTAAGGTTAAGTTCAGAAACCTCAAATGCTTTAGATTCAACATCACATGCAGTCATTCGACTCTTTCATGAATGCGATCAGCACGAGGAATTACTTAAAATATTAAATGACAGAATAAATTATGGAATATTTTTAGATCAATTTACTGCAAATATTTTATTAGATAAATTCATAGAATCCAGTGATTTCACATCAGCGGCCAAAGTAGCATCAATGTTGATGCTGCAAGAAGATTTTTCTAACGAAATTAATAAATCCTTGTCGCTGCATGCATGCCTTCAATATATTAAAGATCCAAAGCCTTTTGAACCAGTTCCTGAAGTGGATGCAAGTGCCGAAGTAAAACCTCAAGGTAAAAAGAAAAAAGATGAAAAAAAGGTTCGAGTAAAATTCTTGAGAAATGAATTTTTTGATGATCATTTTGATTTGAGAGATGGTTCTTTATTAGTTGGTAAAACTTTACATATGATTGGGCAAAGTTTGGGACAAACCAAATTGGGTAACAGTTGCTCATTATTGGGACTGGTTTTGTACAAAAAATTTGAGAAAGCTCAAGATCTTATTCAAAGGATAGATAAAAATACAGTATATGATGAAGCAAGAGATCATATAAAAACTGAATTGAGTACTGTTGAAGTAAATGAATCTAATCAGCAAATTCTAGAAGCACTTAAAAGCAGTGTTGAGGCGCTGAATGGTGGTTCAGGTTTATATGGGGAGGTTGATACCATTGTTAAGGATGCCATAAAAAATCAAGAACCTGTTGATATTGCAAATCAAGAGAAGGTAATAATAAAAAGGAAAGTAAATGTAAATGTTTTTTAGCTTTTTGCAAATCAGGATATTTTGTTAAATACGAAGTGTTATCAAAAAGTTGTATTTTGAATTTTGATATTTGAATTAAGTTCTTAAATCTTATTAAGTTCTTCCTCTTAAGTTGTAACTCAAGAGTTTATATTATCTTTGAGATTTGATTCACTGTACACTTAGCTTAGCCTTTGATGAAATGAATTTATTTTATGTAATGAAGTAGTCAATCACCATTCTTATTATTTGAGCACTCAATGTAGAGATCACTACTTTTACAATTGACCCTAGAATAAATAATATTTTTTAAATGCTAAAGAACATTCAATAGAACAGAAATATGGCAATATTGTCTACTTTTTCTTCTTTTCAACTCTCTAATGTATTCCTATAATATTAAGGAGTCTGTTTTTGACTTTTTTTTAATTCTTATTCGCCAAAATTTTTTCAATATCTCTTATTAATAAATCACAGGTTCTTCTCGCTAATAATTTTTATCAATTTAATAATTGTTAGGTGCGAATAAGTTCAAAATCCAAAAGTGCAATATTAGTGAATTTTAATGAGGATTACAAAAAGAACTAAACAACTAATTTATTATTCAATTACAGCTACATGAAGAATGGAATAAAATTCGAGAAGAAAAACTGCAAGAACAACTTGCTAGATACCAAAAAGCCAAAGTAATAGCACAAACAGAAAAACAATTAAAGGAATTGGAAGCTGAAGAAAGAAGACTATGGTTCTTCGAAAATGAAGAACAATTAGATTTAGAAATTGAAAAGAAACAGGTTTACTATCCAAAGAAATGGTTTGGTAAAAAGAAGAAGCCCAGAGCTATTGACCAAGATTACATACCACCAGATGTACAAAAAGAATTTTCTTAAATTATCAGTTTGTTAAAAATAAATAAATTAGACAAAATTATCCCAATCGTTTTTCTCAAAATTTTCAGGATTTTATGTGAGCAACATATTCATGTATTAAGATTAGTAATTATATTTGTACAATTCACAGGAAAAATGGAGATTATTTCATTAACATTAAAACAGTAAACAAGAAATAGTATAAATACGTAAAAAATCATCTAACATAGTATAAAATAATGTAATTACCATGGCAAGAATATCATTAACAAAGTCTGTATAACATTTTTCTTTGCATACGGTGTTGAAGTTCACCTCTCCTAATCATTGTATGAATAACTTTTAAAACAGCTCTTTCAGGATATTTTTGTCGAGCAAAATCTTGGACAATATTCATCTCAGAAACTTGTGATCCAATTGCAAATCTTCTTTTCAACTGCTTCTCAATACGATTTAATAAATCAGTTTCCTCATCTGTTGTGAATCCCTCAGCTCCTTTAAATTGGAAACATTAAAATTTGAAATATAATTATAAATTGGAAATAAATTAGTATGGAGTAATATCATTAAACATTTGCTCTTAATTGTAATATTCATGATCTTTGCATTGTATTTAACCATCATGTTCAGCTTTGTAAAAGAAAATAGTTATTAAATTTAAAGAAATAAAAATTCTAGTTGTAATCACGCCACAGAAAACAAATTTGTTGTGATATATATTTTTTTTGTGATTAACTTATATTAATTATGATATTTTGTAGAAATGAATTTGATATAGAATTTTAAATTAAAAATTTTGTACCTAAAAATTATTATATTATAATAATTTATAGAATTTGTTAAAGTAGGTCTAAACATAGTTACAATATGTTGCAAAACATTACAAAGTTTTTGCAAATCTTTTTATTACCTGCAAGACTTCCTGACATAGCAGCATCCAGAGTTGAAACTTGGAATAATCTGAGAGCTTCGTTAACATGACTTTCATTGGCAAATGGTTGTAATTGCATTTTTGCAAGTGATTCAGATATTCTTATAATAGCTTCTAACTGCCTAAATAAATAAATTTAATTATAAATATATTTTCCAATTTCAGTAGTAAAAAGAAAACACATTCTTAAAACTGTAACATGCTGTTTTTTGAGAATAGTTGAAAATAATAGTAATTTAAGTTAATAACCATTTACCTCACTGTTATTGGAATGACTAATCTTTTCTCAGTTTGTTTTTCCACTTCTAAGGTACCAGATCTCATTAAAACATATCGGCTTCTTAATTTCTCACCAGCCTCAGCGCTCAGTCTTGGTCCACAGCGTGTTCGACAAAAATCTATGTACTTCTTGAGGAATGATAATGAAAATTCTCCTGTAAATAACAATTAAATTAAAAAAATTACTTAGTAAAAAGATGGGAATGAAAAAATTTTTTTGCTGTTATTGTCATTTACAATCACACAAATAATTAAAGATAACAAAGCTAATTTTATTTGTGTAAGAAAAATGTTTTGAGTGGTTAATAAGTTTTACTGACCTTCTTTTGATTCGGCTGATACTTTATTAGCACTTAAATGTACATTCATAATATGTTTGGCCAAAGTAATATCTCTGTTTTCATCATGTAAATCTTTTACTATGAAAATCATATCAAAACGAGACAAAATTGTTGGCATAAAGTCAATATTTTCTGCTCCTTTAGTATCATCCCATCTACCAAAATTTGAGTTTGCTGCAGCAAGAACTGAGCATCTGTGAATTATTAAAATAAACTTTATTAGATAATAGTTTTAAAGTTTAGATTACTGCACAAATAAGAAAAATATCAATTGTATAAGAACAACCAATCAAGTACTCACCTGCTGTTTAATGTTGTAGTAATACCAGCTTTTGCAATAGAAATTGTTTGCTGCTCCATGGCTTCATGAATTGCAACTCTGTCATCTTCCCTCATTTTATCAAATTCATCAATGCATACAACACCTCCATCAGCTAAAACCTACAATTTTTATAATACATTTGTTATTGTAAATAACCCTTGTTCTACTAATAAATTAACATAAGCATTTCATTAATATTTTACATTAAATTTCAAATAACTTCCTATCATACCATAGCACCACCTTCCATGACAAAACCTCTGGTAGCAGGATCACGCATTACGGAAGCAGTCAGACCAGCTGCACTAGATCCTTTGCCAGAAGTATACACAGCAATCGGTGCTACTCTTTGAACAAATTTTAATAACTGAGACTTAGCAGTACCAGGATCACCAAGGAGTAAAACATTTATATCTCCTCTGCGAGTTAAGCCATCAGGAAGGCGTTTCCTAGATCCACCTATATATAAACAAGAATATTGTATACTACATTACCAAATTGAAAGCTTTGAAACTTTAACTTAAAATGTTTAGTAATTTTCCTAGATTATTATTATTGAAGAAAGATTAATAATATTGATAAATTATTTTCAATTAAGGTGGTATTAAATTGAACTAGTTGGTATTGGTATTTTGCCTTAAGGCAAGTTACATGAACTTCCCGATATGTGTAAATAAATGACTTAATCAATAAAAAATAAATTAATTTATGACTGATTAAAAGTATTCCAAGTGGATTTATTACACATAATTGAAAACGAACGAACACGTTAACTCAGAGTATTTTCTAAAAGCAAATTTTAAAAAATCAATAATTTTTATGATTGAACCAGCTTCCCTAGGACTTTAATGGTTTAATAGGTTCATTAAGACCAAGTACTTTTCGTTATACCAAGTAAATCGTCTAATTTTAATTTTAACAAACATCAAAAAACTACTCATTTTCTCAACTTAGATGAATTTTTAGCTACTTCTAAGACCAAAAAAAAGTTCCATAAAAATCGGCTTAATTTTTTTTCAGCAGTTAATTACAAGAAAACGACTCGGTAGATTTTCACCTAAAACTAATCAGTATCATTCCCAATATCTTTCAAACAGTTTTTAATTTTTTAAAATCGATTCGGTGGTATGAGCATAAATGTGGACGAAAAGTTTAACACTTTCTTCCAAATTACAAAGAAGCGGCTCGGCCGATCGCTGCACAGAACTGAGAAAAGATAATACACATCGAAATACATCGAATGGCTTTTGAAATTTTTGAAATCTGTTCAGGCGTTCTTGAGCAAACGTCGATGAAAGTTCTAATTTTGACAAAAGCCAACAAAACGATACCAATTTTTGCAAACTTTGACAAATTTTTAAAATTAAAAGACTTGTCGTAGGACCGTAATATTTTAGTATGACCTATAAGACTACGGTAACAACCGTAAAAAAAAAAAATAAAAATCATCGCAATTTTTTTTAGGACTTTATTACAAGAATCAGCACGATTCCCAACCAATATCTTTCGAACAGCTTTTCAATTTTTAAAATCGATTCAGAATTGCGGGCTAAAACGTGGACGAAATTTTTTTCACTTTTCTGCGATTTAGAAAGAAACAGATCGGCCGATCGTCGCACAAAACTTAGAAACGCTAGTCGTTATTGAGATGCATCGAATGGCTTTTAAATTTTTGAAATCGGCCCAGCCGTTTTTGAGAAAACGTCGATTTACGGCAAAAAATCTATTCACATACACACACACACTCACACACACACATGTTCCAAATTTGGTCTCATTCGATTCAGAATGGCTTGAAACGTCGAGGAAACATAAAATTAGCGAATCGCATTTTTTATGAAAACAAACTTCTCCTTTGGGAAGTTAATCAAATCAGATCAATGAAACAAAAACAAATTCCATACATTTAAGTGAATTTTTTACCATTATTAACTTTATGAAGTAGAAGTTTGTCAGAAAATCTGATTTGATAATTTTAATTAAGTCATCAATTCAATCTGAATTGACTGGAAACCAAATATTAAAAAAATCAATCACCGACTCGGCCAATTTTTACCTTTTAGCGTGAAATTCTGAATCAAAATTCAAAGAAAGACATCCATAGGGACTCAGTTTTTTGGTAAAATCGTCCGGACCATTTTTTGATAGAGCACAGGCTCTAAAATATCGTAGGCCAACGACAAATGGTCCACTGTTAAAAAATTGCATTAAAGTTTCAAATAATAAGCCGCACCCTTAGAACATGCACTGTGTATGTTCTAAGCTGATCGTTCGTTCGCACTTTTACTTAAGAGTTTTTTTTTATATCTACAAAATACATACTTAAAAATTAAATCAACTTACCAAATAATAAGCAGGCAATAGCTTTCTTAATGTCATCACTTCCAAAAATACTTGGTGCAAGACTAGATGCAATTCGTTCATATACATCTGGGGAAGCAGCTAATCTACGGAATGTTTCTTCTTCTTCATTTGATGGGGCTCCACATCTTGACACAGCGCCTTGGGCATCAACAGAAATACCTAAAACTCTCATGTATGGTAATCGAACACCTACTGTAGCTTTTTCACGTCCATCTTGCTGAAGGAAACAAGTAAAAATTAGAACAATATATTTTTTTAAATGTTCTAAAAAATTTCTACTACCATGATCTACTTTAAAGACTTCTTTATTTTTACCATATTTATTACTATTTTTTTACTATTGTTTATATTTTAAAATTAGGAATTTTTTAGGATTCTATATAAATTCATATAAAATCTTTTATAGAAAAAATGTTGAACAAAACAAATATTAGAAACTGCAAGTGTGACTGAATTATACAAAGTACATAATTTTTCTTTACAATTGAGTTCTAAAATAAAGAGTTTTAATTACCTTGCTGGGTTTTCCAACTTTCTTAATACTGAATATTCCATGAATCAAAACTCGGTTGCCTGGTACAACTCTTTCGCATAAAGATCTATCACAATATAATTGCATATGACGAGGAATTTCTCCCTGTAACAAAGGTCATGTTAAAACAATGTTAAATAATAATTAGTTATATGATATTTCACAACAAACAAAATGCTATTAGATATACCTGGGGTATAAAATCTGGCAATTCTTGTAGTTTTAGTACTTGAAAATCTACACATTTGCATTTATCAGGAATTATAAAGTAGGGATCTA